CTGGCCTACTGTTTATACTCACAACCAGTCACCCTCATATTGGCATGAAAGCCAGAGATGTGAGACAGGGCTATAGAAAGAGTTCATATAACTTTTGAGATTCATAAAAGTTCCAGATAAGTAAGCCAGACATATTGATACATGATAGTTAGCTTTTAAAAATGTAATGCTGGGCCAGGAATTTAGCTCAGTGGTTCCGCTGCCTGCCTCGCAAGTGCAAGGTCCTGAGTTTGATCCCCGGTACCAAAAATAAAGAAATAAATAAAAATGTAATGCTACACACTACTTTTTAAAAAGCTAATAAAACTTTTGCATGAGATTTAGTTCAATCAGCAAATATTTTTCAAGTGCCTATGATGTGCCAAACACTGTCCTAAAGATTAAGTATATAGCTTGGAACAAAAAAATGGGAACACTCTGCCTATAAAGTGCTTCCATTTCATTGCAGGAGACATAATAAAGTAGAAAATATAATGAGTCAGATGGAACAGTAAAGGAGGTGGGCATCAGTGGGGGTTCATGGGAGGGATATAAGTAGCTTGGTCCACAATGCCAATGAGATAGCACCCATCAGCAAATAAGACAGAGAAATTATTTTAAAGAAGCTCCAAATGTGTCTACCCTTTTTCCATTTCAGAACAATAAAGTCAGGCGTTTTGGTTTTGAGCTCAAGATGCAAGACAAAAGTAGTTATCTTTTGGCAGCTGACAGCGAAGTGGAAATGGAAGAATGGATCACAATTCTAAACAAGATTCTCCAGCTCAACTTTGAAGCTGCAATGCAAGAAAAGCGAAATGGAGACTCTCATGAAGGTAGGTAGCTCAGGCCATCCACAGCCACTTTTGCTCTGCAGGTGTCTTTATTTTTGCCAAGTGCATGTAGCACAGGTATATGAGAGGGAGACAGATCTGAGCCTTTTACAGATAACCTCACAGCAAAGATTGTGTCACATTACAGTTTACTGCCCTGACATTGTTTGTATAGAAATTCCATGAGAAAAAACCACAGCGTTGAAAGTAAAGAGGAAGACTTTGATTTGAGTCCTAGGCTAGTGATAACACTTTTCAACTATGTGCTCTTGGACAAGCTAGTTATATTTCTAAGCCTCAATTTACACACTTATAAAATGGGGATAAAAATGAAGCTTACTGATTGGATGGGAAGAGTAAACTAAAAAGTATATCTCAAGTCTCTATCAGAGAATCCTCACTTATAGTTTGCATTAATAATATCCTTTGGAGGCCGGGGATTTAGCTCAGTGGTTCTGGCACCTGCCTCAAAAGTGCAAGGTCCCAAGTTCGATCCCTGGTACCAAAATAATAATAATAATAAATATCCTTTGGAATTTTTAAGACAAAGCTAGGATGGACTGGAGCCTCAGATTAAATTGATGGGAAGAGTCTGGCTGTGTTTTCGACAATTCATGCTATATTTCAAGCTTTTAGGTAATAACCAACCCTGGCTGCCCCCTAGAAGTGCATGGGAAGGTTTTTTTTATTTAATGCTATTTTCTTGGTGCCACCAAAGATTCTGATTGGGTGAGGCTGTGGAGGCTGTTCATAGCTAGCATCAGTCTGAGTAGCCCAGGTCCACACTGTACTAGCAATTGCAGGTTTTACTTCTCACCACTGCACCTGAGCTTCAATCTTCAAAGCTCACATGTGTTTCTCCTGTGCATCCAGCATTGAGAATCACTGCACTCAGAAGCACATAAGAGAAACAGCCTTAATTCTCCTGCTTTAAATAAAATATATTGCATTATAAGTGACTTGGATAATCTGTTTTGCCATTTTAGATGATGAGCAATGTAAATTGGAAGGTTCTGGTTCCGGTTTAGATAGCTATCTGCCTGAACTTGCCAAGGTAACATCTTCTTAAATCATCTGATCTTATTTGAATGCTATTGAAACTTTTCTCATTTCATGAGTTTATCCATAATAGAATCTCTTGAAATAACAGTTAAGTTGTGATTTCTGACCTGAATATGAGATGATGTGAAATACATCATTGTTCTGAGTGAGACTTCAGTTTGTTTTCCAAAATGCTTCCTACAAAGTATTTCTTACAATTCCTCAAATATTTGTTCTCTCATGCTATTTAATGCTGCATCACAAGTATTAAAGAAATAACCAAAGTACACAGGTAAGTGTTCTCATAATAACCAAGTACTACTGTGTTCACATGTGTACTTCCTGTTACTCAAATTACTAGGCATAATTCCAAAGAAGGTGGATGTGGCAATCTTGCTGCTAAACTAAAGAGGGGTTGCCTAAGTTATAGAATTTGTTGCTGCATTACTCTCAATTAAAAAAAAGAAGATCATAATGAGTGTTTTATAATTTTGAGATGCCCAGAAGTTACTGAAAAAGCACAAAGGTAAACAAACAACCATGAATCTGCCACAACCCAGATTCATATCTATTACTGTAGTTTTTTTAGCATCTGTATTTTTAAAAGAAATAAAATATTTTACATTTTACAATTGAAGTTCTTTTTAAGCACTGTCCTTATTACCGTTCTCTTCTTCCCCACACCCCAATGAGACAACCATTATGGAGTTTTACTTGCATGTCATTTTTATGTTTTTACAAATATATTTATTATAATGATATATCTGGTGGTTTTTAGACATTCAGGATGTTACATAAATACTAACCTGCTATATGTTTTATTCTGGATTGCTTTTAAATTTTTAAAAATTCAACCCTATTTTTGAAATCCGACCTAGCTGGTTTGTAGATCTGGTTTATTTATTTTATTGTACTGTATAAAACATTGTATTTTTGCTGTTCTATTATTTCCATTTTTTCTACCATGAACATGCTACAATGAATATCCTGTACTTGTCTCCTTGTATGTATCTATGCATGATTCTTTTTGAAATGAGAAATGTTTTTGTGTTCTGTAGCCCTTTATGCTCTTGCTGTTACTGCCTTTCTATTCTTTTTTTGATAATAACAGTGAAACAGTGACCCCCACACACCCACATGTTAAACACTGTAATAGAAACATGGTTTGTCTGAATAGGATTATAAATAGGCTAGCATTGACCTTTATTTCAAGACATTAATTTTTCTTAGAGCCGTTACACCTTGCAGTTTACCTCCATCTTCATGTTCTTTTCCTTTGTGTCTAATACACAGATGCAGTTCTGTTCTGTAGAGCTTACAGGAAGGGAGGAATTTTTTTGTATTCAAAGTTATATCCATTCCTCTCCCGTCTATTTTTTCTGCATCCATCTCTTCTTTCTGAGGCAGATCACTTTTGGTTTTAATATCTTTCATGCTATCACTACCAGTTGATTCTGTAGGTATTGTTTCCTCTGCATTTGACATTATCTGCAATGCAGACCTTGAACATCTCAGTATTTCACCACCTAGCTCTGTATCTTTCCCCAGGTTGAGGTGAGGTATCGGTGATAATGAAGTAGCTTTGGTCAGAACCACACCTGGTTCATCTTGATGTTCCCACACCTTTGTTTCTTGACTTTTGGGGGACGTTACACTCTTTTCTTTTTGTGCTTTATACTCTTCCTGGTTCTGTGGCATATGTTGTTTTTTATCCTGCACATTGGTTAAAATAGCACCAGTATCTGGTTTTATGTACATGCCTCCTTCAGAATCTGATGATTTCTGGAAATTGAGTGTGGAAAAAGAGGATTTTGTAAACACTGGCTTTCTTTCTTTCTTGATTTTGGTACTCACATTAAGGAATAGGGCAGGTCTCGCAGTGGAAGCCTTAGTCAACATTATATTTGGCTCATTTTCCTCTTCCTGAACCTTTTTCTCTTTGCTCTTTTTTTTCATTGTCCCTGCATCTGATGATTTTTTGACCTGTAATTGTGAGCACAGTTTTATACTTTTGTTTGCCAAATCTGTCATTAGTTTGTTTTTCTCTTCTTGCATCTCTCCCCTAAGCTCTTTCATTTTCTGTGGCAATACCTGGGCCTTGCGTGTATGTGAGAATGGTAATTTTCTTACTTTCCGATCCACACATTTGGGGAGAATTTTGTCTTTCCTATCTATTGTGAATCCATCTTTTTCTTCTTTCTGTGTTATAGGTTGCATTGGTTCTTTTTTGTTGCTTGACTTGGTACATGTTTCTTTATCTGAATCTGATGCACTTTGAATATTTAATGGTTTAAGACAGAGTTGTATTCTTCCTCCTGTAACTTCCTTTTCACTCGCTCCATTGTCCCGATTCAGGGAAGATGGGAGAGAGGGTGGGAGGGCAGTTTTCCTCAGAACCATTTCTGGTTCACTCTTGCCTTCCTGCTTGTCTTTCCCGTGCCCTTCAGTATTCACAGGCAGTGTGTTTATCCTGTGGAGACAGGCCGTCTGAGGCATCTCTGCTCTCGGGCCTGTGTTTTGGGGGAGTGGTCTACCTTCCGTGTCTTCTCTTTCTACCTTGATCTTGGCCTCTTCGAATGGCCCTTGTTGACTTGTGTTTAATATGACGCTGTGTGACCCAGTGCCTTCATGTGCACCTTCATGTCCATGTTGCCCTGTGTCTGAGGGCACAGGAAGCTTCACCTCTGGAGGAGAGAATCTGTGGTGACGTGGAGAAGGTACAGAAGGATAAGTTTCTGTCAGAATCTCATTCGGATGGCTTGTTCTTTCCTGTTTCTGTCCTACTTTTCCTTCAATGCTCCCCTGTGAGTCTCTAGTCTTGCTCTGAGTATTGTACAGCTTGATAACAAGGCCATGAGGAGGTTCTGACAGCTGTGCCTCGATAACTGCGCCATTACGGTGCATCAAGCCATCTGTGCCTAGGGTTTGTGCTCTGATTTCTCCTTGTGCTAAATCCTGTTTTCTGTGGCTCATGTGGCTAGCTGTGGACTCTGTAGATGCCAAAAGCAATGATTCCTGGAGGACAGAATGTGGCACAGAGCTTTTTATTATTCCTGGCTCTCCTCCTCCTTTTTCTCCTTCTCCTTCTCCTCCTCTTCCTCCCCTGTCCTCCTCTTCTCCTTTTCCTACTTTCTCTCCTCCTTCTCTTCTTTTTTCTTCTTCCTCCTCTTCCTTCCTTCCTCTTTCTTCTCCTTCCTCTTTTCCCTCTTCTTCCTCCTCTTCTACTTCCCCTCTTCCTTCCTCATCATCTTCTGCTATTGTCCCTGGTTGAGAAATAACTGAACTGAGAAAATAACAGGGTTTTCTCGGATGTACAAGTGTTTTCTCACCACTTCCCTGCCTCTGATTCTTTTGTTCCTTGATTTTCATTTGCAGTTTCTTTGTTTTGAGACTATAGGAAATGGCTGTTTCCACCCCAGGTATGCATTTGAGTTGGGTTATCCTCTTCTCAAGAGCATGTGCTTTATCCTCTTCCACATCCCCTTGCTTTCTCCTGTCTCTATTTAGTCTCCCTTGATTTTCACCTTCTTGATCCCATTTCCCTTGCTGTTGGTCTTCATCTCTTTTCTCTTTCCTCTCTCTGTCCACTCTCTCACGCTCTTCACCTTTTCTGTCTATTTTCTTTTGCTCTGTCCTCTCTGGATCCACTTTCCCTTGCTCTTTGCCTGCTCCACCTGCTTTCTTTTGCTCTTGCTCCTCTAGATCCATTTTCCCTTGCTCTTTCGCCTGCTGATCCCCCTTCCCTTGCTTTTTATCATCCACATCTGTTTTCTCTTGCTTTTTATTTTTTGGGACCACTCTCTCTTGTTCTTTACATTTTCCATCAGTTTTCTCTTGTTTCTGGCATTCTGGGTCCATTTTCCCTTGTTCATTAGTTTCTCCATCCATTTTCCCATCCTCTTTCCCTTGTGTATCCATTTCCCCTTGCTTTTTGCCATCGTGATCCCATTGCTCTTGCTTTTTGCTTTCTCTGGCTGTTTTCTTTTTCTCATTACTTGGTAGATCCATTTCCCCATCCTCTTTAGGAGTCAACAGTAGGCCCTGTGAAAGTGTCTTATTTTCTTCCAAATCTTTGTCCTTTGGATGAAGTATATCTTCCTCAGCCAATGTTTTTATTTTATTCTCTTCTTTCTCTGGCATATATTCTTTTGCTATTTGTGAAGATGTTCTGATAGTTCCCTCTGTGGACTCTCTCCTCACTTTTCTCACTGCATCTGATGATTTCTGCTGTAGTAGACCTAGAAGAGAACATTTTATCACTTCCATTATACAGTGTGCTATTTCCATCCTGGTATCCAATTTTAAATGAGGAGAAGGTTCACAAATGCTGGTATTGTCCACAGTTGGTTTATCTTTAATTTTTTGTACTTTTTCTTCTTGTTTGATGTCTAACTGAATGTTCTGTAAAACTGATTTATTTTTCTTCAATGTTATGATATTTTGCAATTGTTTATCCTCTTCTTTCTGCATCATATGACCTATGGTATTTTTTATACTGTATGAGACAGCATCAAAAATACACTTTTCAAGTGCTATCTCTAGTGACTCCTGGAGCTTTGGTTGCTGAAAAGGGGATCTTGTCTTTGTTTGCAATGCTTTCTCTCCTTTTTTTCTTACTTCTACTTCAGAGAAAGGTGGAAAAGAAATGGAAGATTTCTCCCCAATCTCAACTTGTTTATCTTCCTGTGTCTTTTTCTCTTTTTTCTCAACATTCATCTCTAATTCCTGTGGCCGTGAGGATTGCTTTGTCATCAAAAATATCCTTTCAGAAGGTGTTATTTCTTCAGAATCTGTTTGCATTCTATTATTCTGTGGCATATATTTTGCTCTTTTTATAATGGTTAAAATACCATCAGTTGGCTCCTTGTGTGCCTCTGACAGTTCCTGGAGTGTCAATGGTAGAAGACGGAACTGTGCTACTTTTTGCTTGTATAGCTTCTTCCTTCTGAGATCCCATTCCACCTGAGGTAAAGGAAGGATGGAATCCCAGGATTTGTTCTGAACTACACTTAGATTGCTTTTGTCTTTCTTCTTCATGTCCTCTTGTTTTTTATTGCCCCACCCTGGTTTCTTTCCATGCAGTATTTGTCTAAATGGCGAATTCTTGCCCTTCAGGGAGAGACCTACGAGATCCATTATATCTTTTACATCTACTCTATTTTCTCCAGGTTTCTCCTTCTTTTGCAGCAAACATTTTGATTTCAATGCATTGCACAAACTCTCTCGATTAGCTGGCTCTGCAAAGGAAATTCTTTTGACATTTGACGATGCCTGGGGCTTTCGTTCCAGAAGGCAACTCTTTAATATTCTTGGCTTATCTTTTTCTACTTCTGTTCTTGAATACAAATTAACATGTGATAGAGATGATAAAGAAGTATAAGAGTTTGTCAGTTTCCTCTGTGACTTAGCTTTACCTTCTTGCACGTTGCTCTCTTGTTTTACACTGTGCAACAGCAAAGGCAATTCCTTTCCACCAGGTATGTACAACAGCGAAGGTTTCTCTGCCTTCAAAGCAATGTTATAGTCCATGATTCCTTTCATTTCCAATGGTTTTGCTCTGTCCTTTTCTTCACGTTGTGATTCTGTTGTTCTTTGTAGCTTCTCAAATGGGGATGAACTCAGAATAGAATTTAATCTACTTTGGGTAGCAAGCGTCTGTTGCTGGAGCTCCTGAGCTGTAGGGAGCACTTCCAACATTTTGCTGGTTGCTGAAATCTTCAGTTCTAGCTCTGATTTCCTCAAGTTGGGCTCCTTCATTTCATTAACTTTGAAACTGAACTGTTGGGAAACCAGTGGGTCTGCTCCTCCAACGAGATGTTTCACATCCTTAGTGCCATCTGTGACGATGCCCTCATGGATGGAATGCACATGCCAGGCTCTCTCTTCATGTGCTGCTTGCTCTTGCTGTTGTGGTTCAGGATTAAATCTTTTTTTCTGCACCATATTTGTCACTATTATTCCGTCACACAGTTTCATGTTAAGGGACACTATCAATGATGATAAAATGGCATTTAGGAATATATCTGCCATAGGCCTACTTTGTTTCATCTTGGTTTTGGAGTAGCATCTTAGTTCCCGTCGATGGCTTGTTATGTCACATCCTGCGATATTAAGTGTCTTTGGCTTCTTCGCCTTCAAAGTTACATGTTTGAGACACATTTTATGTGTCTTGTCCATACATTTTGCTATGTCTCCCTCTCTTTCAGATGCAAGTGAAACAAGTTTGGAGAAAGGGAAAGATTCCAGGATTGTTCCTGGACATTCTTGTCCTAATCCTTTCTTTTTCTCCACTGATGCATCTTCCAGTAGAGTTTTATGAAACCTATAAGATAGGACCCCAGAGCATATTAAAAATTCAGTGGTCTGTGATTTCAGGGTCTTGGGTGGTAGGTGTTTGTGAGGACCACACCGTGTAATATTAATTATCTTTGAAATCGATGCCTTCTTTGCCTTGGTAATTGGAGAGCACTTTTGCCTGTGAGGTGCACCAGGTGTAAAGTCCTCCTTGTTTGAGAATTGTAGGTAGGAATCCTCTGCACTTTGTAGGCCCTTCTGTATTTCCATTTTCTTGTTCAGTGTCATCTGGGGAGATGACACCAGTTTCTGCCTAGATTCTGATGTAACTTCTGAAGGCATTTCATGTTTTGGAACGTGCCGACCAAACGTCAGCTTACTTGGGTCCTTAGGCGACACTTTATTCTTGCAGTTTGTTGTTTCTAATAATGAGCAAAGTGTTTTTAGTTCATCAGCATTAGCCA